TCATTGCTATTTGTGAACCAAAGTATCAAGCCAAAAGTTTAAACATCTATAATAATAAAGAGGAGTTGCTGAACTTTTTATCCAGCCAATAGCATGGGGGTAACTATCAAAAAGTTATTTTTTTAACCACGTCTTAATGAATAATCATAGTAATGTTTGCTCTTAGCCAATGAAAAGTGGCCAATTGCATAGGGCCCAATAGAAGAAGGTGCTATGATGCATGTCACGTGCAAAGTGTTGATCAGTGGAGATTAGCTGCTGTATCATCTGGATCTTGATAGTTCCCTCTAACGAATTTGATAATTTCCTTTGAGGAAGCACAGCTTTATAATTATTTCCTCAATTTGCTTTGTCTGCACCAAAGGGGCCAAAAGTTTAAACATAAGTGTAATAAAAGACTAAGAATCAAGCATTATCTTTTTTATTGCATCTGTACATAATCTAAGGCCTACTTGGCTTGACTTTCAAATATATTCATTTCGTTTAATGTAATCTTTTACATTATAACCTAACCTAAGTACATTTTAACCGTTAGATCATAAAATATGCTAGAATATACCTAAAAGTGTTTTTAAAGGTTTATAAATTACAAACATAAGATTAATCTAAATGTATATGTTAGAATATCCAGGCATATTCTAAATGTATTGGAATTTTTTGTAGAACCGAAGGTTGATGCCACTCTCACTAATCCTGTCCAGAATGCATCTTGTTTCCTCTTAGCTCTTGTGCATTCCTGATTTGTGAGCTTGGATCCTCCCTCCTTTCTTCTCTTTCTCCCCTTTTTTTCCTTCTCATCACAGTTTAAAAAACTCATGCAGAGTTGTTTTTCTTCTTTTTTTTTCCTCAGTGCCGATCAGGGTAATCTCATTGGTGAGTGAGTGAGAGAGCTAGACAGGATCCAATCTTTCTTAGTAACATCACATCAAGAAGAAAGAGGAAGAAGAAGAAGAAGAAGAAGAAGAAGACATGGCTTCTCCAAGGCGATGCTCCATCCTCCTTTAAATGAAAGCGTTTGCTGCCAGGGATCGATCTACTCGGTCACACTGGAGGAGCTCCAGAATTCAATGCAGGACGAGTTCATGAAGAACATCACTCCTTATGATTACCTTTTAAGAATAGGTGTTGCAGCAGCTGCCGCTGCGCGATGTCTGGCGGATGAGAGCAGTGTGCAAACGGTGGCGGGAATTGATCGACTCCCCAGGGTTTGGCGTGCGGCACGCACAGGCAAGCATTCCAGCAGCTGTTCCTTATGTTCTTGCAGGCACGTTGTGCGGAAGGATGTTCAGGGGCAACCCATTTAACAACAGCAACGCCTTCAACTGGATAGAGATGGTGCCCACAGGGGGGTCTCTTATAGGAAGTGCTGGTGGATTGCTCTGCTTTTTGAAAGGGAACCAGGTCCTAGTAGGCAATCCAGTCACTGCCAGATCTCAGGGCTAAAGGGCTGATTTCATCCTCTTACATGGGCATCAGTCAAGACTTCAAGGAATACACAGTCTGCTTTGTAAAAAGTCGTTCTTGTGAAGAAAAAAAAGTTGAGATCAGAGGTACGGTGAGAAGTGACTACACAATGTTTACAACAGCTCATGTATACAACTCGAGACTGGGATGCTGGAGGGCTGCTAGCACACCATTGGGATGGTGTCAGTGGGAGAATATGGGGGAAGTGGTGGGCAACGCTACTTTGTATTTGCTTTGTGGTCACTACAAGAATTTGAATGATCCAGAGTATGTCGGTCTGTTCACTTTGGATTTGGAAGGGTTGAGGTTTGAATTAAAGCAGACTTGGCCATGGGATGAGCGGCTACACAGGAATTATGGTGTATTTGTTTCCTGCCATGGTCGGACAGGTGTGTTGTGCTGCACTCAATTCAAAAACAGGTATATGCAAGGAGAAACAGGTGGTGATGGTGGAGGTGAAAATCTGGCTAAAGGTGTTGGTAAAGAATGCAATGCTATTTGTTTGAATGGAGCTGTTTTATTTGTGGAGGAGAAGTCTTTATCTACAGCCATTTTGAATTTATCTACTACAGGGAAAGCAGTTGCTTTCCCATTTCAGATAAATTCCGATCTAGCAAATTTCGTAAAATTTACACCTTCGCTTTTATTACCATAACTTGTGTTGTGTTTCTTTTCATAATATGAATTACTTAGTCTCGTCTATTACTTTTATTTTCCTACTTGGGCAATTTCACGAGCGCTGGGCCAAGCGCCCGACACGAATGTGTGAGGTATCTCTCTCTTTGTTTCTCTCGCTCCTTCTAGGGTTTCCTCCCTAGTGCTCCTGATGCATGCTCTGGAGCTCTGTGCTGCTTGTGATCAATAGCTCATCTCGTGTGATCTGTTTATCCTCCTCCTTTCTTCTCTTTCTCCCCCTTTTTTTCTGCAAAAGTTGGAGACTTGATCAAGAGAGAAGCACCTGATATCAGTATACAAAAAGAAAATGGAGGAATAAAATCATGTCAATAATATAGGATACTTACAGTTTAGAAAATGTTGTTTCTTTTAATTTATTGTTTTTTCTTCCAAATATATGTATTATTTCACTTTAAAAGGAAATAAAATATAACTCTTAGTCAACCTTTTTATGTTTCAAAGAAATGTCTTAAATTTTCACAACCAATCAATATTATAAATACAATCATGGTAAAAATACATTGTTCATTTTGATTATGTTGGAAAGTGCATGATTATACTTTAGAGTTTGTGTTTGCTAATGATGATTACTTTCTTAAGAATGTTTGAATGCTTTATTTTGAAGAGAAAATTGGGAATGTTAAGTTTTCCAAGAGCAAAGAGTCAATAAAAATGATGCAATCTAAGAGAATTAACCATAGAAGGCAACTATATTACTGAAGAATTTGTTATGCCAAACAGCAACATGGTTTCCTTTATTTTTTTTTATAGTTTTTATGCAATTTCTTTTTTATGACTGGTTTGTCTTTAATTCTATGAATGCTATAGCACCTAATAAGGATCTTGTTTAGATTGCATAGCATTGAATATTAATGTTAATATCTTAGCCATTGCACATTATGATAAATTATGGGTAATGGTGTTGCCACTATGGCCTCTTACCCTCTACTCTTTATTCCATTGAGATTGTTCTAATGAAATTCCTATGAAGTCTCCAGTTTTTAAATAGTTAGAACAATTTTTATGTCCTTCAGTGTGGAGAGCTCAATAATATTATTTTCAGAAGTTTAATGACTTAGCCTTCAGGTTTACATAGCTATGTTTGGCCAGACATCCTTTTAACTTAGAGGATAATATATAATTTTATATATAGAAAGTGGGAGTTGTAATTCTTCCTAGAGAGATCTAAAAGATGGCAAAACATCATCAACTTGTCATCTTGGGTGACTACTAGCTTTTCAGCTTCCAACTCAACAACTACTAGTGGCTGAGCTTGAGTTACACTTTGTAGTAACCAGCCTTCTTTATTGAGACCGATTGACATGAAGGCAAAGCATTGTCTACTAAAAGTGGCACCAGTGGATACTGTGCCTCCTACCTTTGTGTGGTGATAGCAAATGTTTCCAAGTTGTAAGGGGAATCTGGTGTGTCTGGAGACTCTGTTTACATTTTAACATATTGCACCTATGAGTCGAGGACACCTAATATGACCTCTGTTCCCATACCCTATCTATTCACTATGGTGACTGGCTCAATCGGATATAAACACCCCTATCCAGAAGATCCAAGTCCCATGCCTCCCTGCCAACCATGTTGGTGCAAGAGTTGATAATCAATATTATCACTCTTGAACTGTCTTATCCACAGATATAAGCCAACAATCCACTCCTCATTCTCGTTGACACCAATATGATCTTGAGAAGTGAACGAGATTCACTAAATCTGCTGAACCTTTTCCTTTCTGATCTGACTTGGTTTTGGACCAACTGTGCATGGCTTGTGCTGAAAAACTTGCTGCTGTGGAGGCCAAGGAGTAGGTGTGGAAACAATAGCATGGTTTCCCCACATTTGTATTGTCTAAGTAACCTCATAGTGGTGGAATTTGGTTATAGCCCTACTCCTAAGCAGCAGCAACTGGTCCTTGCCCCTGGCCAGAGTATCTTTGGCCTTGGCCATGCCAGTCTGTTGTTGCCTCAATGAAGTTGTCTCTATTTCTATCTGATTCAACCTCTTGGTCATCTGCTATTGACTTTCCTTGAAAGTGCCATCAAAGAGCATCTAAGTAGAGGAAGGAGTAGATCTCTACTAATACACTGTATGACAGTCCTCCTCATACACCACTGTTCTTTTTTAAAGCAACCTCTTCTGTTCTTGAGTGAATTATATAACTTTGTCCAGCTTCTTTAAGCACTTCCCACAAACTTTGTGAGCCAAAACAATTCATATATGCCTTTACCACCCGAGCTTCATTGCACTATATGTTCATGTTCTCACACTTATGAATATATTGTTTGAAGTGAATATGATACTCATAGATGGACTCTTACAATTGCATCTTGTATGCATTAAGCTTAGCCATGATGAAATCAAATGTGTGCATTATCTCAAATCACTGCACCAAACACTAAAAATCTCAACTCACTTCAAGATATTTGATGACTAGACAATCACTTGCATGCAACTCATTTTATCACCAAATGAATCAAGAAAACACTTTCTAGACAGCTCAAGTCCAGGTGCTTCCACCCATATACCCCATTTACAAATCCAACATAGATCTAACAAGAAACAAACATCAAAATCCTTAAATCCCGACACAAACCTTGCCATTTTGGATTCATTGGATAGATTATGTTATGGCACCTCTTCTGCAACAAGAATCAGCTCAATCCACTCTATATTTTGCAAGAATTCTTCCATATATCAAATCACCCAAAACCTTAACTTTTCACTTCCATTCCTCTCAATCCTTTTGCAGATTCAAAGGGTGAACAAGCCAAGAAGTCACTCTATCCTGTCTGGTGCACCAAAAATGTGGAGGAGAGATATGTTCTAACCTTGAAACCCTAGAATACACTATATACTATAGAATATGCTTGACATCACTTGACAAGATACTCTAATAATTTAGTGTCAACATGCAAGAAAAATCATCGTAAGCAAACCTTTCATCCCTATCAACAGTGATTCATTCCACTCGAGTTGGACATTGCTTCATGGCCTCACACGTTTTGTGGAATTGGTTCATCTTCATTCGCAAGCCATGATACAGCCTTGAAGCTCTCTCCATTTCATTCAGCGGTATCCTGTGATGCTTCGTACGAATGACTAGTATCTATAAGCAAGAAAAGACTTACCAAGAGCAATGAAGGTAAGACCTCGACTTCCACTTGACAAGGTAATGCTTCATCAGGTCTTCTTCTGCCTTCTTGCCTGCCTCCGTCTTCCTTCTCCGTGAGAGTGCATAAAACTCCTGTTAGTGCTTCCCTCTTGCAGCAAGATAACCTTTGCCAAGCCAATACCAATAATTTGAGAATCTACTTAGCGGCTCCTCCTGAAACAAAAATAAATACATAATGCCAGTATGAGAAACGAAAGACATTCGTGCACACTAACACAACAAACCAGGGCATCTCGAGCTACTTTGCCACCACTCTTGCAAATGGTGCAAAAATCTTTCCTCACCGCCCCATCCAGCTCCATCTCCCCACGAAATAGGATGCCTTCCTCCCTGGACGAAAACCTAGAACTAAAAAACAATGGAAGAAATATGAATGCCATACCTTCCAGCTCGATTGGGAGATGGATCGGAGGGAGGACATCCTTCTTCTCGCTGAGAAAGTACCATGTCCTAGCCGATGCCAAGAGCCTGCATTCCCTGGTCGTTTTCAGCAATACCACTGTGGAAGCCCTCTCCAAACCGACCTCACTCCATTAATGTTGTTGTTTTTATTGCCGGTTTACTTTTACACTTACCTAATACCCAATCTGGCATGGCGTTTTGGACGAGATTCTCGCTGCTCGAGGCGGATTTAGGAGTTAGGAGGGCGTTGATCTCGCGCTAGATCGCCTCGCCCCTTGACGCCAAACCGCGCCTCGCTCTGGATGGTTCAAGAAGCCCGCGAGTCCACTCGGTGGTGGATGAAAAGATGCAGAAACCTCTGTTGGAACCTCGGGCTCCATCGCGATGGTTCTAAACGTTTCTGAGGTACTATGAAAGAGCAGATGATTTATCAACCAGTTTGGTTGAAGAACTCGGAGTAGTTCAACAAACATAACTTTTTTAAACTTCTAATGCCACGAACATGCATCACATTTTACTGAGTACAAGCGGCACTCCATGGATAGGCTTCAAGCCAAACTTCATCGCAGGATTATGGCGGTAGTTCGGTGAAAGCCGGAACGAGAATCGCTGTAGTATCATAGCCAGAATGACTTTGGCTTCGATCATCGCAAACGACTGGCCCACGCACACCCGCGGCCCAAACGAAAACGGCATGAAAGCATTTGGATGCTTGCACGCGCTTGAGATCCCATCTTTGAAGCGATCAGGATTGAATTGGCCTGCATCTTCTCCCCAGAGCTCCTTATCCTGATGCAATCCAACGATTGGAAACGACACAGATACTCCTTTTGGAACGTGTAAAACTTGCAGCCAACACTCCTCCACACACTCCCTGGTCATCTCGTTTACTGGTGGATACAGCCGCAGAGTTTCGTAAAGGATCATTCCCACCTGTTCAAGAATCAAGAAGTTAAGTTTTGGAATTAGGAGATATTGATCGACTTACGAGCTTGAGCCTGCTGACACTCTCGCCATCAGGAATATCATTGCCACATACTTCGTGTACCTCAGCACGGGCGCGTTCTTGCCATTCAGGATAGCCTCCCAGTAGCATCAAAGTCCAGGTTAGTAAGGTCGCTGTGGTTTCATGCCCCGCAATGTAGAATGTCTTGCATTCCTCTATCAGATCCCTGCTTGTGAAATTACTGCTGCTGTCACACTCCTTTAGCATCAGTCCGAGTAAGTCATTCCCGTATGTATTGCTCCCCCCTGACTTCACTGAGTTCCGACGCTCGTCTATGATCCCAGTGATCAGATAATCCAACTCCTGATGAAGCTTCCACAGTCGAAGGTTGATTGGAAGTGGGAGAAACCTGTAAGCAAGTGAATATGATTCAGTTCAATAGATGATCCAGCATACCTGAAGCCTGGAATCCAGGAAAAGCTGACGAGTTTGGGCACTAGCTCTGGGATTTTCTTGGACAATATCTCGAAAACTCTCTGGCCTTTGAGATAGCTAGTTCCAAATGCTGTATGGGAGATAACGTCTCCTGTGAGCTTACGCACCTCTCCAGAGATTTCAATCTCGGGATTCTGCTGCATCGTAGCTTCACATTGATCAAGCATGCGAGATGCGCACCCTGCGATTGTACTGGTCATTTGCTGTTTACAGGAGAATCAGAAACACTTATTAGCCAGATTTCATGAGAAGATAATAGTATGAATACCCACTTTAATACGTTCATGAAAGAATGCCGGTGCTACGAGTCGGCGGTGATGACTCCACTCCTCTCCAGTAACAGAAACTAATCCACCACCAAGGAACAAGTTCGCCAACCGCAGCCCGGCCTCCGATTTATCAAATTGAGAAAACTTTTTAGACAAAACCTCCCTTACGATCTCAGGCTCCGAGACCAATATCCTTGGCTCAGTTCCCCACCAGAACACAAATCTCTTCCCTGGACCATGATCATCAGGAACGAAGCTTTGAGATTCATCAGGGATGACAAGAACATACCATATTGCTTCCGCCATTTGAGCAACGCAGGATGTACCCGATGGAAAATGTCGTGGCTGAAACTTTCCATGTCGTGATCCTTGATGGCGCTCCTCATGTTCTGGATTTCAGGTATTTGGCCTACCATGAATCGGGGTGGAGGCCCCTGAATGCCCTCCTTCTTGAGCTGCGCGGCGATCGCCCTGGGGCGCCACCAGTAGACCGTCACGAATCGCCATAGCGCTGCAGTGAAGAGGACGATGCAAATGCTCAAGATCCATCTCCCTTCCATTTCCTGGACTAAGGGTAAAATCTGTGGGAATGGATACAAATAAGGATCTATCCCTAAGAAACTACTTGGAACTTGTAGCGTTACACTGTTACTCATTGATTTGTGGTGTGGTTCCTCACTCTTCAATGATATTGGACGACATCGCAAGTACGTCAAATTCAAACTAGAGTTTTTAACTGTTTATAGATATGGATACGCTCAGTATACATATATTTTTCTAGCCATTGGATTGAAACAGCATAGTTTAGAATATAGCCATCAATCGGCATTGTGGAATAGATAGGACTGCCACAGTGGATCACACTAGTTTGGGCTTACATTGCTTCACCAGCCACTGCACAATAGAAACTACCCCTGCAAAATCCTCTGAATTGAAAAGAGATGGAAAACGTATATCTTAGATGTACCACCACCGCTAACACTGCATTTGAAGTCCATCAATGGCTTCTCTCACCCGTGGGGTGTCGCTCAGATGGCAGGGATCATCAGGGCAGAGTTACATGCTGGGCCTCAAGAACGTAGTGGAGCATCGCAACTGGGTTGAAAGTGTGATGGGATCACCAAGAAGACGATCATCCTCCCAGACAGTGACAATGATCACCACCACCCACAACAGTGCAAAGTCTTCGACGGTGATGAGTAAGAGTGGCAAACACAGAGTGGCAGCCACAGGGAAAGAATGCTTTCAATACAACTAAGACAGGATTCATTGTCTAAAACAATTATATATGTTTTAACAATGAATCATTGGACATATGAAAGTGAGCCATTGAAAAACAAAGTAGTTTTTCATGTAAACTGCAAGTACTTCTAGGAGATGTCCACAACACAGGTTGAGCTTGGTGTTATACTCTCTAGACAGGTCCTTGGAAAACTAGAACCATCCAGTCTAGTCAAGTTTCATTGCATATAGTCAATGAGTGTTTTCTAAAGCACCTAAGCACTATCGTTCTTGAGGAATGAAAACTTCATAACATGTAGATGTGAGCAATCTAGTAGAATTCTTTTGCAAGCCCAACAATTCAGTTTCCAGCACAAAAACCCTTAGTGTTCAAAAACACAGCACAATGATTTTAAGTGTTGTAATAAAACCTAAAATTTAATTCAAAACTTTTATATAAAAAAGAAAAGTATTTTAAGAATGAAAATAGATTGGATGTTGTATTTTTAATAAATTGTTCCATTTTCACAAAATATCAAACTTAATTGATAATACCAAGTTGTCATTCAGACTTTGATAAACTGTTAACCTATTGTGACAAGTGTGAAAATTCATTTGTGTTAACATTTTGATTTTGAGATGATACTAAATCTAATCTGGCATTGGAATATATACATTTTTACATTATCAAGATAAGTCAATGTAGCTTCTTCATCAAAACTCAAAACACGCCATGCTAAATTTATTCTTTATAATTTGAATAAATGTAAAATGTTTGTCATTTTTTTGGAAGTTGTGATATGCATTACATATTTTCTTTAATACATCAATTATAACATTTTTCACTTTGTGAAAGATATTAGCATTAGCTACAATCACACCATCAACATCCACTATAATATATATATATTTTTAATCGAGTTTGATGGAACAAAAAATAATTTAATATTAAAAATAAAGTACCATATCATATGTACAGAGTTATTTTTTATAAAAATTTAATTAATTATTTTGCACATAATGATTAAATATAATATTGCAATGTTTTTCTTAATATAAAAGATAACTAAAATTAAATATAATCAGATATTTTATCTGTAGATCAGGGATAGAGTAATCAGTAAAAAATAATCACTTCAACATTTTGGATAAGTTCATTTTAAGTTTCTCAATATTGTAAATGTAGTTACACAACATACAAAGTTAATTATGCAAAAGTAAAGATGTTTATAATATTGCAACCTGAAAGTGTAAATCTTGACATTTTTCTATGTAGAGAAGGCTTTGCAACCATAGTACTTGAATATATGCATTCTTCATATGTTGTGAATAAATCTTAGCTCAAAATTAATCAAGATAGCTTTTGTGTGTGGAAGCAGCTCATATAAACCAAGTATGACATCATTGCTATATCTGCACTGAAGTATTGGGCCAAAACTTTAAACATAAATGTAATAAAAGTCCAAAAATCAAGCATTATACCTTTTTGTTGCATTTGTATGTAATGTTTGAGGTTATGATAGGCCTACTTGGCTTGATTTTCAAATATATTTATTTCTTTTTAATGTAATCTGTTACATTATAACCTAATATAAGGAACCCTTTTTTAACACTGATATGTTTCTCGAGAGAGCACTTACTGAGTGATCAGTTCTCTCATTGAGTGATCGGTTCATCAGGAAGCTCTTCCTGAGTGATCGGTTCATCACTATATTCAAGAGAATTTTTCTCTTTGCAGGAGGAAAGCACTGAGAGAAGTTCAGGCACTTTCATGTCTTGGTGAGTTGGCTTTTTTCTTTTAGTATTACCACTGGCTTCCTCAAAACTTATCCAGCTTCTAGGTTACCATGAAAATGTAGTGCGCTACTTCTCTTCATGGTTCAAGAATGACTTTTTATATATCCAAATGGAGCTGTGCGAGATGAATCTATGAGATGAGATGGACATTCACGAAGAAGAAGCTGATCGAGGCAATGTTTCAAGTAAGCAGCTCAGTTGTGTTCTTTTCTTAGTTTGTCATGCATGACAGCTCTTAAATGCTTTGAAGCACTTACACTCACATGGCCTCACTCACCTAGATGTGAAGTCTGACAAGATCTACATCCGCAATTGTGTCTACAAGATTGGTGACTTAGGCCTTGCTAGTCGAATTGATGGAACCATTTCCATCGAGGATGGCAACTTGAGATATCTCCTGATGGAGCTCATCA